TGGCCCTCACACAACCCGCTACGGGAGCCTGCCCGGCCCTCGCACAACCCCCTCCGGGAGCCTGCCCGGCCCTCGCACAACCCCCTACGGGAGCCTGCCCGGCCCTCGCACAACCCCCTCCGGGAGCCTGCCCGGCCTTCGCACAACCCCCTCCGGGAGCCTGCCCGGCCCTCGCTCGGCCCTCACACAACCCCCTCCGGGAGCCTGCCCGGCCCTCGCACAACCCCCTCCGGGAGCCTGCCCGGCCCTCACACAACCCCCTCCGGGAGCCTGCCCGGCCCTCGCTCGGCCCTCACACAACCCCCTCCGGGAGCCTGCCCGGCCCTCACACAACCCCCTCCGGGAGCCTGCCCGGCCCTCACACAACCCCCACAGGGCCCTCGCCCGGTCCCGCCTGGCCCCCACATGGCTGCTGTGATGTCTGGTTTGGTGAGCTCCTCCCACCTTCCCGGGCCACGCCATTTGCTCGGTCCTCGGCTCGGCTGCCCTTCATCTTTCCATTAAGTGCCATAGTCACGACTGCACAGATGTTTACTTTGCAAAGATAAGGGCAAATTGGACATTTGGGGAAAAGGGTGTCTTCTTATAGTAATCGCAATTTCTCAGACAGCCAGTAATGAATTATAGCCATACAGTATGTTATTTATCCTTTTCAGACAGATAACAGGAAAATGTTGTTTTTTTATTTTTAACCTGGGATCAATATTCAAGCCCCAGTCTGTTTTGAAGATGCCATATAAGGTGACGGGATTCCTGAAGCTGGTGGCGTGATTCCTGTGTCACCACAAAAGCATGAGTCACTAACTACCCAGAGTACAATTACCTGCTTCCTGGCTCATTTTGTTTGAGAACAAATGGCCCCATGTCTGCCATATGCAGTCTGCGTATCCTCCACCAAAGCCTAACCCTTATTACCAGATCTGTCCCCAGTGTTCACTGTATTTATGGTCCATGCTACCTTCAGCACTTTTCTTCTTGAATGGCAGGGACACTATTCAGCACCTCAGTCAGAGCCCTCCCAGGCAAGGCGAGTGGTGGTGTCCCTCAACGTGGACAAGGCCCTCCAGGAAGGTAGGTGTGTCTGCAGACAGGAATCCTGCACTTTTCAGCACATCTCAGGGATTCCACCCAGTGCCCACCAACCCGACAGGCATCATAGGTGGCTGCCACCTTCTGGCGGGGTGTGGGTATAGCTGGCCGATTTCACTTTGTCTCCGATTGGGGTCGCTGGCGATGCCGCTGGCTTAGGGCACCATCTTCTGGAGGGGCACGGATTTAGCTAGCCAACTTCACTTTGTCTCAGACAGGGAGTGGCTGCGATGAAGCTGGTCTAGAGTGCCATCATCTGGTGGGGCAGACACTAGGCCGGCCAATTTCATTTTGTCTCAGACAGGGGACACCGATGGTGCAGCTGGCCAGTCCTGCTCCCACTTGGTTACTCTTGCCCTCCCCAAAAGGCATGCTGCTTCAGCTCCTCCCCAAAAGGCATGCTGCTTCAGCTCCTCCCCAAAAGGCATGCTTCTTCAGCTCCTCCCCAAAAGGCATGCTGCTTTAGCTCCTCCCCAAAAGGCATGCTGCTTTAGCTCCNCCCCAAAAGGCATGCTGCTTTAGCTCCTCCCCAAAAGGCATGCTGCTTTAGCTCCTGGGCTTGGACAGAGTGGTGATTTTCTATTAAATGACGCTACGTGATGCTGCTTGGAGCGTATTCCTCTGTTTCTGTGCCTAAAGTGAGCACTTCATTAAAGTCAGCATGCTGCATCTGGGACAGAAATGGTCTTTGTATCTAATCTGCTGATATCTCATTACTGGACCATCTGGGCATTTTCTGTTTGAGTCTGTGTTTGAGTCTCCGCTGGGCGACTCTGCCACAGGTGCCGCATTTATTTAACGCAGGAGAGTCTCCCCCCGGTGCTGTGACTGTAATGCAAACGGCGTTGTGTGATTGGCCTGACGGGCACGACTCAGCCTGATGTCGAGGAAGCAGGGATAGCAGGGGCACACGGCCCTCATACACCACACCCCACCAGGAAAGAACCTCTGGGACTGTGGCTCTCACAGTCATTCAGGGAGGATACAATTTCCTCATGGTCTATTTGATGGCCACAGCAGACCAGCGGCACAAATCCCTTTTAGGTGTCACAGATCAGATATGTTGTTTCAGCCACCGCCGCAAAAAAACCCCACTTGATTTGTCACTTGACCTGTGTATTTTTTGCCTGTCCTCTCCAGGGAAACTGCAATCCATTGTTAGAGAGGCTGTTTAACTACAGCGTGGTGGTGAAAGAGGTGGTTGCCCCACATTACCGGGAACTGGTGAACCTGAGTGGATGGTGACAGATTCTCACTGGAGAAAATAGACGGTCAAACATATCTGAAGCATGAAAAGATAAACCCATTGAGAAGGATATGGCACAGGAATGCAGTGACAACGCTTGCAATGCAGTACAGGGAATGCTATCTCATCCCGGACGTAATTCGCAGTTGTTAACTGCAGTCATACAAATCAGCAACAAACGTCGGCTGACCAGAAGTCAGCACCATCCATCTCCTTGTAAACAGGGTGACGGTATAATCACTAGTGGTCCAGGTCTCTCTGTGATTTTTGGCTTTACCTCTTAACCATCTGTCACCTGGCGATCATTCTCGGCAACACTCCAATGGTTCAGGTCGGAGGGGAGGACCGGGCTGGAGTTTGTGTTCGGAACTGGAACTGGAATCCAATGGCCTTGATGAACAATCTGGAACAGTTTCTCGGGTCGGTTTTGAGTTTCTCCTTTTCCCACATGCTCACGCAGCACCGGTACCCCTCTGTCAGTTTTCGATTACAGCTACAGGGACTACGTGCTGTCCTGGTACGGGTCACGGAGCCGCGACCAGGGCCAGCTCTACCTCCTGCTGCAGCAGGACTTCTGGACGGTGGTGCGACAGCTCAGGGGCCGGCTGGCCGGGGTGGACGTAGTGCGGCTGCTGTGCGGCGATGTCGTCAGGGCCCTGCACTCCCACTTCTGCGACTTGAGGGCCGCCGGCACCGGGTACGAGTGCCACAGGGATGCAGGGGTGGGCGGGGCTACTGCACTGATAAACCTCTTTCTACCGCCTAGTGTGAAGTTAAAACCTTTCCTGTTCACTCGCATCCCGTCATCACAAGGATTTTTTCCTTCTAAGCCTTCATGACACTCTCTGGTGCATGTTGCACAGCTGTCCTCATCAGTCTACTCCTTCCATGATCCTGATTTAACTAAAAGCAAAGAAGGGAAACCCAGATGTCCAGTGAAGGTGTTCATGACAATGGATGATGTCTTGATAACTCACTGAAGACCTTCTTGGCTGTATCTATACAAGGCATCTTATTACGGGCCTTTCAACACAGTCCCATTGCACATGACACTGGAGTGCTGCTTTTGTTATCAGGGAGAATCCCACTGGACTAAGGTGACCACCCAATCCATGACAGGAGGGACACTATGAGCCACGACAGGGTTTGTAAACTACCATTTCAATCATTTCAATTAAAAGGTCCTGAATGTCGCTTTAGCACTGAGTTCTTGCTGTGAGCTGATTGGTCAGCTGATCTATAGCAAAAAATCCACAAATATAAGGTTCAGTGTAGCTAATAACCTCATATTTGTGGATTTTTTCTACAGGTTCATGTGCAGAAATCGCTCTGTATTTTTGTGGATATGATTTTGCACAGCACAAATACATATTTGTGAATAGTTTTTCTAAGAATCAACTACAGTACTAATTAGAAAAAATTGCACAAATAAATTGGAGCGAAGTCACAAATGTAACGTGATCCATACATAGACAGGATGTGATCCACAAATGTGCAAATTTTAAAATACATATTTGTGGATAGTGAAATATTTGTGGATCATGGTACATATTTGTGGATTGTCTTCTGTGAGTTACAAATAATAAAGTCCAATATATGCTTCCATATAAAACCTGATATTGTCACGACAGAACTCTCGGGAAGGGTCCAACGGTCCTTTATTAGGGCAAACCAGTGGGAAGTCCAAACGACAAGCAGGGTCACAACCAAGATCCGTCCGATCCTGAATACCAAAGCTGAAGGGGAATCTGTAATCGTTGTCAGGTCGGGTGCCGTAAGGTCGTAGATCCGGAAGGTCTGTCCGAGGACGCAGACAGGGCACACGGGGAGCAAACACAAGGGAAGATCAGGGCCGGGGAGGACGGGATCGGTAAGGGTCCGGAGGCGCAGGAAGCGGGAGCAGGGAGAGTCGGGAGGATCGGAGCTGTAACAAAAACACAGGAGAGAAGTTGCTCGGAGATTGCATACTAACAGTACCTCGCACCGAGAGATCGTCGTGCGAGGTTTAAGTAGCGAAGGTGGGCATGGTGTAGTGAAGGGGGGCGTGGTTTAGCAAAGGGGGGCGTGGTTTAGCGAAGGGGGGCGTGGCTTCGATTGCTTGCAGCCGCCGGTGTGACAGAAATGGCTCATAGTATCCCTCCTGACGTGGATTAGGAGGTCACCCTACACGGCACAGATGTCAGCTGCTAGGGAAGTGGCTGGGAGCGGGTAGCCTTGTGAGAGAGTCCTCCTGCTCGTCCTGCCAAGGCGGACAAAGCCTCCTCTGTGATCGCTCCGCCCTCAGGGCAGCCGCTCACGCACCCTCTCTTGCAGGCAGGAGGAGCCTCCACGGCCTTTCCCGCTGCACCCGTGTCTGCGCAGCCCCAATGATGAGCTGCGGTTCATGCGCTCCTGCGTCCACCTACTGCTGCTCTGCCTCGGGCCTGCGCACCACACCTGCAGCCTGCGCGCGGCGCTGGCCGACATCCTCACCACCAAAGGTGAGTCGGGACTATGGAGATTCGACGGGCGGAGAACTGTGAGAACAGAGACTGTGGGGAGTTGATAGTGAAGGACAGCAAAGCCCTTGTCTGGTTTGCATTCTGCCCTCAGGACTTTCACATGATCTGTTCATGAAACGTAACAGTAAGTGATGATGGATCACATTTAACTACCAACTAACCACTAACTTCATAAAATGGGTTAATTTGATTTGATTACATAACTATTACCATCAATGATTGGCCTGCACTCCTCCCTGACAGCTCTGGAGAGACCTTTGGGCCAAGTGAAAGAGTACAGAGTGAGTGCAGAGGGAACAATTAGACCAGCAGACGTACTGACACTATTACAGCTGTAGCTGGATGCGGACATCTATAGGTACTGTGCACAGAGTTCTGCTTTGCGGTCTTTAATCCCCCCCCCCGGTTTGTATGTCCACAGTGCTGTGCCCCCTGGTGGAGCAACTTAGTGACCCTGACTACATCAACCGCACCCTGCTGACCCAGCTGGAACAGCGCGAGCAGCTGAGCGAGCGACACAGGAAGGCCTACACCTACGCCCCGTCCTACGAGGACTTCATCAAGCTCATTGGCAGCAGCTCTGACATTCAATTCCTTAAGCAGCTGAGGTAAGAACCAGCTCCACCCACTGTTCACACCCACCAACCAAGTACCTCACCCACTGTTTACAGGCCCCACCTGCCGCCAACAGACCCCATCCGCATGCTCCGCCCACCTTCCACAGACCCCACCCACTGTCAACAGGCCCCACCCACCACAAACAGACCACATCTGCATGCTCCGCCCACCTTCCACAGACCCCACCCACTGTTTACAGGCCCCACCCACCACAAACAGACCCCATCCGCATGCTCCGCCCACCTGCCACAGACCCCACCCACTGTTTACAGGCCCCACCCACCACAAACAGACCCCATCCGCATGCTCCGCCCACCTCCCACAGACCCCACCCACTGTCAACAGACCCCACCCACTGTCAACAGACCCCACTCACTGTCAACAGACCCCACTCACTGTCAACAGACCCCACCCAAAGCTTACTCCACCAAAGGCCCCGGAAAGCCATCGGTAAGTTTGAAGAATTCCGAGTCCGTCATGGTGAAGTGAGGCCTCTAGTGGCAGCTGCTGTCTGTTTCCTGCTATGGCAGCAGACAGGACTTTGAAACTTGCCAAACAGGCAGAAAGGAGATTGGCCATGACATTTCTCGCAGATTTGGGAGCCCTGGTTTTGGAATGCAAGAGGCAAACATGTTGGGAATAAGCATGAGGGCCTTGGAAGAGCATTAACATGACAGCTATGCAGGGAGAAAGTTACCATCACAATGGTAATGGGTTTAACATCAGTTGGGATGCTGCTTTTGTGCACATGGCCAGCTTTAGAGGTGCATGCTGACGCAGCCAGCTTCAGCGCAAGGCCTTGCTTGGCCCACCCTCCTTAGGTGGCCGCAAACTGTCGGGGCAGCATGCCGTCACCATGGCAACAAAAAGCTTTGAGCGCGTCGCCAATCTCAGCAGACAGAAAGGGTCGGCTGGTCTGTGCCATGAGATGTAAGGAAAGCCCATGGAGGACGGAGGTCTGCGTAGCGGCTCCCGCTCAGCGTGGGGGTGCGGGGTGCTTCTGCTTTCAGCAGGCGCTGTCTGTCAAGCTCCCTTCTTTAAGATGAGCTGCTCACTCACGCAACCTGTGGAATATCACAGATAACAGGTGATTACACTCTTAATTATAGATTGAAACGATGTTGCCATAGTAACCACTGCCTGTCGAAAGATACCCAAGAATATGTCTTACAGGTAAGCGCAGAATATTATGAGCAACTTGGAAGGATTTTTAGTTTCAAAACTAAAAATCTAAACTAAAAAAGAAAACCAAGTCTTCGACTGAGTTAAAAGTACAAGACAGCTGTATAATAATTGCATATCTTTTCATTTGGCTGCTAATTGTATGTGTCCATCTTATTTACCGTTGTAGAAGATGGATAGACAGTCGATCAGCCCAGTTCTCCCCCAGCAAAGACTCTCACCAGTAACGGCCTGACATGCCATGATTCTCTTCCGGTGGTCACCACGTGATGCAAACGCTGGACCTCAACGTGCCCCCCAGCACAGACCTGGTAGCATTTTCCACATAGCACTGAAAGCAGGAACAGGGATGGTCTTACGGCTTAGAATCACCTAGCGCTGGCTCTTCAGTCTAGTGGACTCGGTCGAGAGCCGGTTTGTCTGGGACTCTCTCGCACATTCGAACCCTAATGGCAGCCCATCTCCCCCTGCTTCATCCTCACCATGGCGCCCATTTGTCCCAGCATATCTACCATACTGGCATGCCATGGAAACTAATGCCTTCCACCAAGATGTCTCAGGGGTATGTCGACGCGTTGGCCGCCACCAATTACAGATCTGTTTCCATAGGTACCAAATCGTCGTGGAGATCGTCCAGGCGACGACGATCAGCAGCCTGCCTCAGCTGAAGAAACAGAGAGGTAGGATGCCGGCCTGCTCCAGTGGCCCGGCACTGTGGCTGCAGAATCCTGAGAAGTTCTCAGGTTCTTAAATCCAAATGCAGTGATCATTATGGTCGGAATTACTCAGGGTTCCAGCCCCATGGTCTGGTAAACCCGACCATACTTACAAATTCCACGTCGCAGTAACTCAGCGGCATTGTGAGTACGGCCCGTACATGAACGGCCACTCTTGGCTCGCCGGCCCTCCCCTCCTTCCCCTGCGAACCCAAAAAAGGACTGGCCGATGCTTTCAGAACAGCATATTTGAGGCGCCGCCTTATTCGGGCGTGTCATTTAATACCGAAAGGTCATCCGTAAAAAGGCACACGGGCTTCTGCACGTCTGACCTTTGACCTACCCATTCCCGCATCGCTAAACGCCTGGTCTTGTGATGGAAATTAAATTCCAACAATACAGACTGGTGGGTCCTTGTTTGTCTGAAAGAACTGTGCGACAGAAATGTGCCCGGCGTAGATTCCCTCGCTGACGATGCATAGGAAAATGCAGACAGGCACGTTCTCAGACAGCCGAAGGTGGTCTTACAGCTCTGCCTTCCCTGTCTGCCACTTTATTGCATTTCTGCTGAAGTGCGCCCACTGCAAAACGAAAGGGAGAATATTGGTAACGCGTTTAAATAATTTACTCCCATACGAATATGATAATAAGGTTTCTTAAGTAAAATATTTGGCTCGAAAAAATGCAAAGTAGAACTATGCGTTATGTGAATGAATAATACCGAAAGAGCTTGGTAAGTAACTAAAGAGGATTAGCAGTAATGTGTCTCCGGACATAAAGCCACCCAACCCCTGTGTAGACAGCAGAGGGAAGGAGACGGCGGCCATGAAGGCAGACCTGCTGAGGGCACGCAACGTGAAACGCTACATCAACCAGCTGACGGTGGCTAAGCGGTGCTGCGAGGCACGGATCCGGCTGCTGGGTGGCCCCGACTACGAGCTGCATGAGGATGGGCTCACCGACGAGCTCGACGGGATGCGGGGCCAGAAGGTGAGGACGTCCCCATCGGCACAGGAAAGGCTGGTTTCCGCCAGTAAGGCTGCTTTCAGGGACACTCACCGTGTTAGCATCTGCATCCCAAAGACCCAGAAGAGATCAAGGGAATGTGCCAGAAGTCTCCAACCCAGATATGCAGAGGTGGGAAGTTCAGGTCCAAAAAGTACAAATCCAGTCCACGTTTTTTTTTCCCAACCAACCAGTTGTGTACTCTGTGATAGTGATCCTTAATGCTCAACTGGATGGTTGAAACAAAACCTTGGTCTGGATTTGTACTTTCTGGACCTGAACTTTCCACCTCTGCAGATATGCACAGGCGAGCCGTGTAGAGAAACGGCGGGGGAAGGAGACTGCAAGTGTGGGTAGGCTGGACATGCCTACTGGGTAGCAAGAGGGAGGCAGGGTGAAGAGGAGGTATGCTGTGACATCACTGTGATGGGTTGGTAACCCATTACTTAAAGCTGTCATCTACAATGCACTGTAGACACCCACATAATGCATTATAATGCTTGGTACAAGAATTAATAAAACATTACAGCATCTTCTATTGGCAGTCATAAGGCATTATAGTGTTGACAGTTAAACTTCATATGCTTACTATACAGTGTGCATATGTTTAAGTGATAGTATACCTTACTATACAGTGAGCATATGTTTAAGTGATAGTATACCTTACTATACAGTGAGCATATGTTTAAGTGATAGTATACCTTACTATACAGTGTGCATATGTTTAAGTAACACCCCAACAGGTGGCTGCCCGTCGTGGACAGCTTACTTTACAAAGAGCAAGTTGAGGGAGACGTAAAAACAATTTCCCCACGGGGATCAATAAAGTATCAATTATTATTATATGTGTGAGTAATAGTATACAGTACTACCTCAGCTGCTGTCTCTGATGTTCTTAGATCCTCCAGTTTGAGGAGATCATGTCTAGCCCCATGTACCGGCAGCAATTTCACATCTACATGGAAAGGATGGACAAGCGGGCTCTCATCAGCTTCTGGGAGCAAGTGGAGATGCTGAAGACTGTCAGCAAGGTAGGGACTGACCCAGGCTACAAGTTTTACATGGTGAAATAAAATTCCACAATAGTGCTTAGCAAGAAGACCCCCCCCCCCCGTTAGAGGGGAATTCCTTTTTCCTTGAAAGCACGTTAGGCTCTGTAATTACATACCTACACAGACACGACTGGCTCATTCCTGACATTTACGCAGCCTCAGAGGTCTGTGTTCTGGCATACAGTGTGAGTTTTAAGCATTTTAATGTGGAGGCAGAGCCAGCTGGCCTCTGTGCTGATGTTTGTCGCATCCGTTGGATAATTACCGACATGTAGGAACACTGTTTAGCCTGCGAGGCCATCACACACGAAACATTATCTCCGTGTGGGCTGCTCTGGCGTCCGTGCGTCTGCGGTTTGTGTGCCGCCTATGAGCGACTGCCTTGCTTTGCATTTTTAATGACCCAGAGCGAAGTCCCACAGCAGGTGGGAGACATCTACCAGAAGTACTTTGTGGAAAGCAAGGAGATCCCAGTGGAGAAGGCTCTGTACAAAGAGCTGCAGCAGACGCTGGTGGGGAACCGGGGAACTGGCGTGATCCACAGGATCCAAGGGGACGTGTATGAGAGCCTGAGGGAGCGATATTACCCGTCCTTCCTGGTCAGCGACCTGTGTGAGAGGCTCCTGCAGCCCCAAGAGCAGCATGACAGCACGCAGTCCAGTTTTGAAGACAACGATGAAATGGTGAGTTGGTGAGGAGAGAAGTGAAAAAACCGGGCGGAACGGGAAGGGACACGGACAGACATGGGACACCTCAAGCTGTGAACCACGTAGTCATGTGACCAGGTCAAAGCCGTCTGATTATACTGCATGAATCAGCAGGCTATACAGCTGACTGTAAGCTGCAAACCAAGGCGAGGTTCATGAATATGAAGCTGTTCAGATCACGCTAGCGAAAGCTCTTCCTTTGTGCACAATGTCAGGTCTGTGACACTGGAGAGGAGCTGCTGGATGGTCTCAGTGAGCAAGTTAGCTATGCCACCAGTAAGCTGCAGCAGCTCCACAGCAAGCTGGAGTACAAGATGCAGGCCCTGGGCTCCATCCAGAACTCTCCCAAGCCAGACAAAAAGGTACGAGGCTACAAGGCTCTCTGGCTCTGGATGCACATGTGGTTACCACTGACGCTACACTGAGTCACCTTTGTCAGTGCATGGCAGTGACGTTCCCTAAGACTGCTACCACATTGTGGTCCTTCACACACCTCTGGAGCAGGGAATTCAACCACTTCCCTATCAAGGGCTGTAGGCTGCTCACAGTGGAGAACCAAAGTTACAGCATCTTCTCCCTGTAGATTGTGTGCCAGTTGATGGAGGAGATTGCGGCCATGGAGAAGGTGCAGAGTGAGCTACAGCAGCATGTCTCTCGCACTGACTGGTGGTGTGAGAACCTGGGCAGGTGGAGGGCAATCATCAGCAGTGGGGAAGTGAGCAGACTGGTATTTTCAAAACAATTGTTACTGTAGCCAGATGCTTAACCGCTGTATTGGGAGACAGACTTGTGTGGGTGAGCTCCTCTTTTTATTGATTTCAGCTGTGAGTCAATGCAGGGGCTCCGACCCATTTACCGTCAACAGGAGCTCAAAAGCTTTTAGGGCTAATTAGTGTAATGCCGCAAACGGACTGAGATGCCCATCATTATAGATGTTCATTTGAAGCATGAACTCCACATAAAATACAATATCTGTGTGAGAATCAAAAACCATATCGGTCTTCCAGAACCTTCCTTCCTGTGTTTTTATCCTTAATTTCGTAATAGTTTATCGTTATTTGCTGAGCAGTAATTCCGACTCATGGGACACATATTAAGCATGGTTTGGCATGATTTTGGTCTTTAGATCTGTAGTATCTGTTGGTTGGAGATGGTCTTGTTGGACCAACCAAATCACAAACATGATGCTGTCTTCTGTCTCACAGTTGGTGGAAGAGAATGGAGATCAAGTTCCGTGCTTCTCTCTGACTGTCAGCCTGATGGAGGCCGATGAGGCTGACGGGAACCACTGGGTTGTGTCACGGAAGCTGAATGACTTCCAGATCCTGCACCGGAAGCTGACAGAGGTACTCGTCCTTCAGCTGATCCCACCTCCCTCCCCACAAATACCCTCAACACACAAGCCCATGTCCTACATCACCACCCACCAGTCCCTCTGAATAACCTCCAGCAAACAAGCTCCAAAATCAGCCCAGTCTTCAGTCGGGGGACCTGCAGCCGACTGCCAGCACAGGACCTCCCCTGGATCACCAGCAACATATGCAGTCATCTCGAAGGCCGCTGAGGTCTACACACCGCTTTAGAAACGCCACAGGCTGTGATGTCATGTTGCCGTGGTGACGGAATGAGTCACACAGCCCTGTGGGATAATCAGAGCTGTTATGACTTAAAAAAAAATGACATGGTTGTCTCTGGTTCTCTCTCCCTTTAGTGTTTTCCATCACTGAAAAAAGTTCAACTGCCCTCCCTCAGCAAGCTGCCATTTAAGTCCATAGACCTAAAATTCCTGGAGAAATCCAAAGGCCAGCTCAATGCCTTCCTAGAGGTGAGAGAAACGCAGCTGATCTTTTCAGCATGGATACCCAGGAGTGTGCATGTGCCTTGTGAGGAAGCTCATTTTTCGGTTTCACGCCAGTATTCATAGCTCATCTGTATGCCCGACTGTGAGAGGCCAAACAGCCATATCACCAGGTCTTTGTAACCCCAAGTCACAGCAGCTTAGCCTGGTATTTATTTTGACACTGTGCGGTTAGGACCTTTTCGTCATCCGTTGGCTCTCCCGTGTGGTCAAGCACGCTTATTTTCACTCCGCTCAGAAAATGCTGGCAGACGAGCGGCTCTGCCAGAGCGAGCTTCTCTACGCCTTCCTCAGCCCGTCCCCTGAGCACCTCAAGGTCATCGACATCCAAAACAAGACGACCTTCTCCTTGGCCTCCTTCCTGGAGAGGCTGCCAGGAGACCTCTTCTCCCACCAGGAGGTGAGCTCTGAGATGAGGAAAGCCAACACAAACACACAAATCTACTCCTCACACATTCAGACACAGGCTTCTCTGCCAAGTGACACTCAACAAAGGTGTCCCCTAACCAGACTAACACGTGGCAGGACGAGACAGATGACGATAACGACTTTGGCTGTGGGGATGAGGTGGCTGAGCCATGCTTCATGCTGATTGGAGAGATCTTTGAACTCAGGGGCAGTGAGTATCGGGCCCATTGGTGTCAACATGTGTCTACAGGGAATCATCCTGCCAGGCAGCTGTGGACACCGCAGCTCTCATAATGTTGCACTACTTTTTAAATCAGAGACGATATGCTATTCTCAAGCTTCATTTTCAGTATGTCAAGAATCTTGAGGCAAAACAAAACAAATGCCACAAGCCCACAAACACTACTTTGCTAGAGTGGTTTCTGCAAAGGCATTTTGAAGAGGTTGCGAAAGACTTTTCTTACCACTGGTTTTTTCTCTCACCAGTGTTCAAGTGGGTGAGGAAGACGCTAATTGCACTAGTTCAAGTCACCTTTGGACGAACTATTAACAAGTAAGTACGGCAGTACCCAGCAATTCCTGATTGTGTATAAGAGTGATGCTGTTGGGATCTGCATAGAACCAGTTCCTGCCCTTCCGGGGAAAAGAGAGCAATTCCTTTTAAAGAAGAACAGGAAACCGGAAGTAAGAATGAGGACTTGCAGGAACTACCATAGAAAGGAGCTTAGGTTGTCCTTCACAGTGTTCCCAATTCCTGTTCATTATTGTCCACATTGAGGTGCCACAATAGAAGGAACAGAATGCTACAAGTTTATGATTTCAAAGACCAAGTGTGCTTGCTGAAAAGATGCCTTTACCTCCATTAAACATTCTTGTAAGTTCTATAACTGGCAAAAGTTTACTAGTTAGCCGAGTGTTCAGACTTTTGATGTTTTGTTAGTTTACTTGACTTGAGCAGAACTCCGGTAGATGCCTTCCTAGATCTGCAGACGTTGACCAAACGATTCTGAGGCTGCCACCTCCCTTCTGAACCCAGCCTGTTCGCACGCCCACAGGCAGATACGCGACACGGCCAGCTGGATGTTCAGCGAGCAGATGCTCACGTGCTACATCAACTTGTTCCGTGATGCCTTCTGGCCCGACGGGAAGCTGGCAGAGCCCGAAGCAAGCCGATCAGACCAGGAGCGCCAGGAGACCAAGGAGCGGGCGCGACAGAAGCTTCTGGACAACATCCCAGGTCAGCAGCTCTCAAGCCTGCCTCCTTGCTGCTTACCTTCATTCCATATTCATTTTTTATCACTCAAGATGTCACACCATGCAAGAACACGAGATACTTTTCAAGTACATTCTGCCGCAACTTCGCTTGCTCCCTCGTCGACTCTCCTCAGTCTTAATTAAAAGTTGTTGCTCTCAAACGTATGCAGCTTTAATGAGTAATTAATAAGCTTGCTAAGCCACACCGCTTCCCATCTGCAAGGCTTCTGCTAAATGCCAACTTGTCCATCACACGTGACAATGCTTGTCAGCTGAGGAGGTGCCTGGAGATGGCATGTCTGCAGAGAGATCCTCAGAAAGGCTTGTCCAAGAACCAAGGTTTGTCATCTGCCCCTGTCTTTGAGGGTGGATGAGAAGAGGAGACCAAAGGAAGTCCATGTGACACTCAAATCAGTACCTGAAATGCAGGTTCACTTCTCAAAAGAACTGCTGCTACCTTTAGTATGTAATGATGTTTCAGTACGTATCCCATTTCATTGACGGCTTTCAGAGCATGTAGGTCTCTTAGACGAATGTGTCTGCTAGTCACATAAGTAATCATATAGTCATCAGTGTAGTGAAATTGAGGATGGAGGTGTGTGACTGCCTTGCTTTCCTTTCTAGAAGCCCTGCAGAATCTCGTGGGGCAGCAGAACGCCCGGCACGGCATCATCAAGATCTTCAATGCCCTCCAGGAGGCAAATGCTAACAAGCACCTTCTCTACGTGAGTGGAGGCAACTTTCTTACCGAGCCATATCTCCATGTGTCATGCTACAAACTTCTGGACTCTCATCTAGAGAGCTAATCTGGACTGTTAAGTACACATGTAGGTTTTATGAAGGCTGCCTAATGGTAAGTTCTCAGTTTACAGTACTTCTGAAGACCTTATTGTAAAGTAGATGTTGCTTATGTAAATGAATCATTCATCTTAAAAGCAGGTCTAGAACAATCAGCTACTGCTTGTTAGAGTTACCCAATGGCACCCATGCAGTTCTGAGAGATGGTGTGACCCCTCTGACCCCTGTGTGCCCTTCAGGTACTCCTGCAGATCGTGCTCAGGGAGCTGTGTCCTGAGCTGGGCACAGAAGCAGACCAAGTCTGACCCTAGAGTAGCTACAACCCAAAACAGAGGCTGAAAGAGGAATGAATCTGACCCAGCCTTCCACCGACCAGCAGACGTCCAGCAGAACCACCTGGGGGTGGATGTAGTGCAGTCAAGAGACGTCTTACTGAGACAGTGATGAACGTGGCCCAAGAACAAGGAATTACATTTTGCTGTGTGTCCTACCGCTGCTCACTCAACACGGTAGGGACAAAACACGGGGAAGAGCCATGGAATTTCCTTGCAAACTTTTGTTTGATTTTAATGTGAAAACAACCAGTCTAACTGCCAAACTCTTCTGTGGAGAGACAGGTTTGTGGTGGGACCCTATTGAAAGGTATTATTTATAGTGAGTTATTGTAAAATGATTAATGTTGTAATCATGCTGTTGAGAAAAAAGAATGGAAAAACATTCCTTGACCTTTTCTTGTGCCCATCAAAACACTTGTGCAATATTTTATGTATAGTAATTGTGGCTATTTTATTGTTATTTAGATTGTATTTTTAAAGGATTAGTGAAAAGCATTTATAAGCAATAAACCACTGATGTACATTATAACTTTGCTCAGTCTTAAATTTCTGTGTACACACAACACGAAAAACCACATTAACTAAACAATGCAGCTTGAAAGTCACACGGGTAAAGCACAATGAATACACCCACAAGTATTGCTTTTTATATTGCCTATACATATGCCCAGGCCTTCCGTGTTTTGTTTGGAGAGTTTGCACACCTTAAAAAATCAATTCAACTCCCTCCCGCAAGCCCTGTTTCCTGTAAGACACTCACTCCGTTTCCAGGGTTCCCAACTCTCCCGCATCTGGTGTGACACTCACGATTTTTTACTTTTCTTGCGGGAAATCTGTAATATTGCACTATAAACATAAAATTGGCTACATCAAAACCATTTGGGTAGTTTGCAAACCCTACAGATTATTTACAATGTAGTATAACGGTTACATAAGTGTAAATGCGTGTGCAGACTTGTCTCGAATGTAAAATCTCACTCCAAACAGCTGACCAAAGTTGGCAACCCTGCGTTTGTACAGTTTTGATCCATTTATCAGAATGTGCTAAATTCGCTCCATGCCGTGGCGTCTCTCGTGTCGCTAGAATACGGTTTCCCTGGCAACCGCAGGCGCCGCAAATTAAAGCCGCAGAACCGATCGTTATGTGCCGCAGCTAAAAACTGATGTGAAATTGAATTAGCGCAATTGCAGCCTAACGACTACATTATTCATTGTAATTAACATGGGGAGTGCTAACCGTGCAGACGAATAACAAAAAGTGCCCAGCGACAGGTAACTATAGTATAAGCATTAATAGAATAAATAAATAAATTAATGAAATTAAGTAATTGTATGATTTGTTTTCCATGGTTTGTATGTGTCCGCAATAGGGAATAGCACTTTGACCTCTGTACGTGCAGTTCTTTGCACGTATACTTCCATTCATAAACACCTCAGCCTCAGATCATATCTTAGTATGGTCGTGACATCATGTCTGCTTTAGCCTGGGTTATTTATTATCGTAGACGGAGGTTTTTGAAAATAAGAAATCTTTTTCTTAAATTGATATGAGACGAAGCTACAAAAAAAAAAAAAACAATAAACGAGAACATTAAATTTTGAGTCAGAAACTAACCGAAATAAAAACAAACTGCAAATACTTTTCGCTGCCTTTTTAAATACTACGTACTTGGCTAAAGTAACGATACTTTTTCTTTATTTAATCCTACCTTTTAATATTATACTTAATTAGAACGTTTTGTCCATTTTGAGGCCATTAGTAGCCCAGCATAAGAATTGTACGTGTGTTTATGTAGAATTCTCTTAGGATAACGTAAAATAGTTATACAATTGCAGGCTATCCCTAGAAATAATGTGATTGAAAGTTAGACTTAAAGTAAAATATATAAAAACTATACAGAAATATTACTTTAAAATAACACGTAATAGAAACCACTCTGAAAACTAGAATTAAATTACATTTCAAATGAAAATATTAAAAATGAAAACTAAATTTTAAAGATCAAAACTATAATGAGGCTGCATTTCAAATGTGTCGGTAACACGAATTTCTTTAGGTACATATCCTGAGCAAATGGGGCAGCTACATTTTGCTGAATATATCAGTCATCATTCAGGTTCATCTATCAGTATATGTGTGGAAAAAAAACGTCTGAAAGATGTCGAACGGACGGCATGACTACACTTGTAGGCCTATATATTTAGATGAAGAGTGCGCTCCCGCAGAGAGTGACAGACAGCGCGAAGTGAAACTGGCCGGCGCCACTGCGTACGTGTGCTTTCGCACAGCCGCCTCGGTCGGGCCAGCATGGGCGTCCGCCCGGCGCAGATAAAACCCCTCTGCCTTCCAGCAGCCAGGCATCCCCGCTCCGGCTCACGGCGCAAGAAATCACGTCGTGCTCCTATACTGAAATCACCATTATGTTTTTACTCGATGCAGACTCACAGGTACGTAATTAGACTGCTACTTTAATTTAAAAGGTCTATTTACAAATCATTGCGCAGTGATCGTCTATATTAGACGATATAATGTTCAGTTCCTGATGGCTGGTTACGCTATCCAGCGCAGTATCGTTTTTCTTGGCAAGTAATCCGTACTGATATGACCCATTTTATCTTTGCATTCGCAATATGTTGAGCAGTTGGTAGGTTTAATTAAATCTTATAATAACTTTGGATGTGAATTCGTTTGGGTTACAAGTTTTTACTATTATTTCAAAAGTATGTGTGATGAAGTCTGATCTGTGGTCGTTTTTCCGTCCTGTTGGCTCCGTGTTTCTGGTCCGTGGTTTCTGCGTGCGTAGGGTGACCAGATAATCCATGTCAGGGAGGACACTTTGAGCTACTTCAGGTTTTACAAACTACTTTCAAATTGAAAGGCTCCTGTGCTCCGCTAAATAGTTCAGCTCTTCTTGTGCTTTGACTGGTTTGTTTCCTTGACTGAAAGACACATCCAGCTGTTTCACATTAACATTAGTGACACATGCATGATTATAGGAGAATGACCAATCAGCACACAGCAAGAGCTCAGTGCTGAAGTGAAATCCAGGTCCTTTTAATTGAAATGGTAAATTACAATTCCTGTCCTAGCTCAGAGTGTCCTCCCTGACATGGATTATCTGGTCACCCTATGCGTGCGTCTCTTTGTGCAGAGTTATGCGTTTGTACGGCTGTGTGTCACGCCGATCAGTCACATTAAATTAAGTGTCCACCCGCTCAGATGGACTGCCTGGGGATGCTGGTCGCGGCCGGAAGCGCCGTCAACTCCACCGGGGATGAGTCGGGGCAGTCCCCCGCTCACCTGGCCGCCTGCGGGGGTCATGCTCTCTGCCTGCTCTGGCTGCTACATACGGGGGCCGACGCCAACCAGCAGGTAACGACCTCATCCAATTCTCCCCCAAGGTGGGATCGAAACACCCAGGGCAGTCATGGATCATGTGTTAGAGGTTTTGTCAATTGGATTGATTAAAGTGAAGTACAAAATAAAGCCAAGCGGTGATTTAATGTGTTAATTAACTTAGTGGGACATTTTTGAACCTATTGTACTTAAAAAGTGAGGACAGGCCGTGCTGTTCTGAGCTGTTTCTGTCCACAGGATGCGTTCGGTGAGACACCTGTCCACAAAGCAGCCCGGGCGGGCAGTGTGGAGTGCATCACGGTGCTGGTCGCCAGTGAGGCGAAGCTCGGGTAAGCGTGCAACATCCCTGGCTGGGCTCTCTGTCCTACATAACATAGCCTCAGCTGCAGTGAGTCCTAATGGCTGACATTCTTGTGTTCAGGATCTGCAACCTCGAAGGGAAGACTGCAGAGGACCTGGCGTGGGAGGCGGGCTGGGAGAAGTGCGGGCGACTCCTGGAGACTGTAAGGGTCAGCCGTCAGGTTGGCGGCCCCAAAGGGGATGGAGACGGTGGCTGCAGGGTGTCGACTGGACTGAAAAGGGCAGGAGAGAGCCTTAGGGGGCAGTATGGGAAGAGGGCACGGGACTGGTGACTGGGCAGCTGAGTGGCCCTGGTGTAAGGATTAGTGAAGGGGGGGGGAACCCATGCAGCCCCACCCTCATCGCGTTTGATCCATTGGACACGGCTCAGGCCAGGGTACTCCAGTAGCGAGGAAACACTCCAGGCTAGAAGTCACAGGACTGGTGGAAGTTGAGCAGGGTCCCGCCCACATGGCAATCCCCAGCGGATACGCGGCTTGAAGCCGACTTGTGAAAGTTCCTGTTCACGACGGGGTGAAAACGGATACCACTGGAGCTTGGGGCTGAAGGGACTTATGGCCCGAGGACAGTGTGAAGACTGGAACCCCAACCAAGCCGAAGTCGGCTGAGCTGCTATCACTTTGACTGTCTGATGATAGTGTCGGTACCTAAATAAATTGGCCTGCAAAGAGCCCCATGTGCCACTGGGCCCCTCTGCTGGTAGGAATGTGGTCTCATTCGACTCCGGGTAGTGCTCCTGTTGGACTAAATTTAAACTCGTCCCCACCAGTAAAGTATCCAGTGGAAGTGGGTAAAAGTTTAACTCAGGACAGATACTGTTAACATTTTACGCTTCCTGGTTGGGGAAAAAAAAATCCATGAGCTGTTTGATAAAGAAACTTGCTGCAGTTAATCGAATGCTGTGCATTAAAAAATATTTTTTTTCCTTTTTTGAAATGCTGTGTTTATTTATGCAGAGGTATTTACAGATTGCCGACACAGGTGGCGCTCTTGAGCTCTCCCTTCCTCAGATGGCCCTTGGTCTCTGGGGCAGGCAGAGGTTGTAATAGGCCCGCTGGTCCCAGAAGTCCATCCCCTTCCACCCACACCAGCCCTGAGGGCACACAGCACATTTTCTGGTGACCGACAAAGTTGACAAATCGCGACAGACAGTGGCCACTTTGGCATGAGACAATACTGATTAATGCAATTCAGGAGCAGAGTTTGCGAAGTGTGAACCCCAAATTAACACGGTAAGGCCAATACACTTCTTCTCAGTACTAAATGCTCAGGTGTTTTACACTAAAAGATACTGCAATACAGGGGTGGCCAATCTCATCCGCAAAGAGCCAATGCGTATGCAGGTTTTTGGAATAACCTTTATTCTGCATTCGATTATATCTGTCCGAGTCGGAAAACGGAAAACGTCATGAAAAATGTCACTTCCTGACGGAAACATGCCTCCTTTCCGATGTTGATGTTGGATAGAATTTTGTTATATGGGATTCCCCGTAATATGTCAGCTTTCACAGTCAACGGTAATTCTATTTTGTAAATATTTAAAAATGTTTATTTTGTTAAATGTATTAGTTATAAATGTAATTGCACGTGGTGGATTTGGAGAATACCATATCATAACCATAAACAGTATCCTAGCATGCAAAATCTGAATTTTACCAGACTTGTTAGCGTCTTTTGTTTGTTTGTAGTTTGTTTGCCTCTCGAAAAAAGAATATGACTATGGATCCACTAAAATATTATACAGCTTTTAATGCGGTTTGACTAGTTTGTGTTTTTTGTTTGTTTGTCTCTCGGGGGGAAAAAAAGAATCTCGCTCCAAATCTGCTAAAATATAAAGCAACAACACACAACAGCGTGTTTATGGAGGCAGCCATGTTTGTTCCAAGGTGTGTACCTCGAACGGGAGATTGGTCCGACATGATGTCACGCACCTCGGAATTAATGACTTCGGAGAGATGATCGAACACACCATTGGGTCAACTGTTCAAACGGTGTGAGGACCTTCAGCCAATCAGTCCTCTAATTAGCAGTGTGATTAAGGTGTTGCAGTGAAAACCTGCATACGCAGCGGCCCTTTCTGGATAAGATTGCCCACCCCTGCTGTAATATAACACAGTTGCAAACCCAGTACTTAACACTCAGGTGTATGGCTGTAGTCAAGCCGTACCTTGTCAGTGACGAGCTGCAGGTCCTCCCCACCGGTGTAGTGGGGGTCCAGGATAAGGAACCGGATATCCCCCGTAGTCTCACTCCACAACACTCCCAGGATGGTGTGAGCCAAGACACCCCCTCCTGTTGGGGGCGGGGGCACATGGTCATTAGCAGAGCAAGTTTGATGGCCTCCTGGGACCCCAGCGAGAGTCCAGTGATCCTCGAGATGTTCGCGAGGGAGTGCAGAGCTCACCGATCATGATGGGTGTCCCTTCTCTCTGGAAGTGACTGGCCAGCTCCCTGCCCTGGTTCACCAGCTCTGACCCCTGACTTGATGGAGATGCAGCAAATTAATACTGAGTGTTTCCCCGTGTGGAGGATCCAAGCTAAGAGACCAGCACGGAGGACGACGCAGAGCAGCAGGCCTCACCTCACGAAGAGGATCCTGGAGGTGATTCCCAGCAGCTGGTCCAGGACTGCCTGCACCTCGATGGAGCCGATCCACTGGCGCGAGCCCACGAAGGAGCTGGGTTTGTCCCCGACGTCCACCAGTGCCTGCGAGAGTCACACTGGGGTAGGTGACGGCTCTCCTCGTCCCAAAGCCTGCAGCCGATGAGACGGGCTCCTACCTGCTGGATCTCCTTATGTGACGGGACCACCCTCTCCGTGTACCCCTGCTGCTGGAACCACGAGCAGATGGTCTGCAGCGAGCGGTAGGCACAGCCCCAGCCGCTGTCATCCATGCGGTCCTGCATGTAGTGATGGTAGCTATACACACCCTGCACCAGGAACGGCTGATAGGACAGGGAGAAAAAGAACGGGCTGACAGTCGGGCTTCTTGGCACGGCCCGAGCAGAGCAGTCCACTCATCTCAGCAAAGATGGACTAACCTTGGCGTCCTCCAAGGCTGGGTGACTGAGGGCAAGGTGCGGGTTCCTTAAATAGCCGTCTTTGAAGGGTTCGCCCGGGAAATGGTAGGCATTGGCCCGTCGCAGGTAGGGCCGGTCCTCGGGCAGCGCGAACCTGACATGCATTTCCTGCGAGAAGCAGCGGCACGGCGGTTATGGAGGTGAATCCCTAGGGTTACTGCTCTTATAGCCTTGAGGAAAGTCTGTAACTGGACGTCCCTCGGTGGAAGCACCAAGCTGTGTGTGAAGTCACGCTCATGGTGAATTGGTAGGAAGGTTTCTGAGGTCCCACATGATAATGCGACCCAGCTCCAGAAACATCGAATAAGGGTTCATATGTATTCAGCGGCAAAACAAGCCACTGACATATTTGGCATGGAAACGGGGTATGCAGACACTGTGGTAGTATGAGAACTGGTCCTGCAGGTGGCAGCAAAGGCCACCAGAGGATCTACTCAGAATTGATACTAGCCTTTCTGAAGGACTCCAGCTGGGCGTCAGGGACCCCAGTAGGGTACACCAAGGTGACCAGTCCCGTGGGTTCTGGGAGGTGGAAGTGGAAGGGCTGGGGGACGAGCAGGGATGTCCCACTAATGTGCCGCAGGACAGCACTCTCCATGTCAGTGAGCTGACTGCACAGTGCCCCCACCAGGCGGGAGAACGCACTGCATACAGCAAGAAGAAACTGCTACAAATCATGACAGCACAGATACTGATCAACACAAGATGCAATAACAGAACAGCACAAACAGCAGGAGGCTGGTATTCAAACAATATACAGAAAACAACATCTACTGTATAATAAATGTAATAATATATAAAAATATATATTTTCCATGGATGACTTGCTGGCACATCTGTTGTTGACCTGACTAATTTGTTCCAGCATTTGCTGCCTTTTTTTGTGTTTTCAGGGTTTATGTCTATCCATGGTCCAAAGTAAGTTAATAAACAGTTATCCTCTTCAATTGCCTTCATTTTCATAATTCCTCCTATAGCGCCCATCTCCCGCCCACCCCAGAGGCTGCAAGCCTTCCGGAGTCTGTACGTACTCGCCGATGCCATCGTCCATGCCCGCCGTCACCACGCAGTCCACGGGCAGCGCCATCTGTGCCAGGTGGTGCCTCACCTCTCTCCGGGTCAGTGTGGGCCCGGCTTCCCGGCCCGGTTCTGTCAGCTCCATCAGCAGGTCGATGTTGATGACGCTCTAGGCCAGCCGACATAGCAAAGGTTTAACAGAATGAAAAAAGAACCGGCACAAACAGGCCCTACCTTACAGGCACACGATTAAAGCTCTGACCTAAAGACCTGCATCCACAGAACTGACCTAAAGACCTGCATCCACAGCACTGACCTAAAGACCTGCATCCACAGAATTGACCTAAAGACCTGCATCCACAGCACTAACATAAAGACCTGCATCCACAGCACTGATCTAAAGACCTGCATCCACAGAACTGACCTAAAGACCTGAATCCACAGCACTAACATAAAGACCTGCATCCACAGCACTGACCTAAAGACCTGCATCCACAGCACTTACCTAAAGACCTGCATCCACAGCTTCACAAATCTTGGAAAATAAAAATGGTTCCTTCAGGCATTTTGGTACTCATAACACTCACACACAGACACACTTACTGTGTCCCCATTTCTTTTGTCTTTCTTTTTTGACGACCTCTTGCCGCCATCAGGCTCCCCAGACCTATGCAGATTGACAACAAAGTCATTCCAGGTGTTACTGTTAAGCTACACAGCTTAACACAACCACAAATGACCTGATCTTTGTTTTAATATTCTACTGACGTGCAAATAAACAGTGAAACAAACATGCGGTATATGAACTGAGACTATAAGGAGCCACCTATTGACCCGTAGCCCTTCATCATCATGCTTACCTTAAGCGCTGTTGGAGGTCTTTGCACGCTGTGGTTTCTGCGATCCCCTCGGTCACCTGGCATCCTTTGTTCGGCCAGATGAACATGGGACTGTCACGGACCCTGAAGACCAATGCCTGGGATGTGACCCTGGCGCGGACACGCTCGAACGCCCTGGACACGGCTTTCTGAACGTGTGACCCTACAGCACGCAGAGGGAAAAGCACCGTAGCGTACGGCTTTCAATCGGCACGGAACCGCGGAAGCGTGCAGAAGAATCTCAGCAGTGCTTTTCAGATACAGTGCACTTGCTCGTATAGCTAATCGGATGAGAGTTCCACTTTTCTATAAGGGTCTAAGCAGAGTTTTAATGTTGTTCTTCGTTCCTGTTCTAGGACAGTAGTAGAACCAGTACAGGACCAATGAACAAATCATTGGTCTACGGATGGCGCGAACGGTGAGTTTAAATGTGCGTGAACGGCAGAATTTTAGGATTTTATTGTTGAAGCGGAAGAGATTTATTTAATTTACCACCAATTAAACAGCATCTACACAAATAACACATTAAAACCAACGGTTTAATATGTGTCTGTTTAAAGTACAAAACACAGAATGTATTAATGGACTAATTATAAGTATGAACCTAAATGATACAAACACATTCTGTAAGGCGAGCTTTATGCATTAAACTATGGGGGACGATTCACACAATGTAACTTACAAATACAAGTTTTTATACGTATTTATTAATAACTGCATGGTGTCCATTCACCGTCAGTGACTTTAAGCAAGACAGCTGGACTATTGAATGTGAAGTGCACACATACAAACACTTTAATTATTACAAATATGGAAAGATATTACATGCAGAAAACTGCATATAAAGCTAACTTTACTGAGGTGGTGGTGTTAAGGTTTAAACTCGGAACCGCTTTCTGGAATATTTCAGTATAGATCCGCAATTGGTTTCGGCTTTTAAACTTTATGACACCGCGGTGAAGTTAACTTTATATTCAATTTTTCGGCTGTAATATCTTTCAACAAAAGAAAGCAACACCCTTTTACCAGATTTCTTTACGGGCTAAGTTTAATATTTCTATGTTTGTATGTGCACTTCATGTTCAATAGCCCAGCTGTTCTGCTTATTACATATTACATATTTCTGTGTTATTTATTATTATGTTATTATGTATAAGAATGCAGAAGGCAATGGTAGACAGATCAGATAGGTCAGATAGGAGAAAGAAAAGGCAGTGTGAGGTAGACCAGAGATAAACTGTGCCATGTTAGTATTTTTTATTTATTTCACATTTGGCATATAATGGAGATTATGGCTCCGAAAAAGTATTTGGCTCCTAAAGTGTTTTTTTTTGTCTGGATCCCTGTGTTGGCGTGCAGAATTGTTCAACGAGTTCATAACCCAGCCGACTACTGTGTGCGATCTGAAGGGACTGGAGAATGATTACCATCGGTGCCATCCAGCAGACAGCGGAGCTCCAGACTCCCCCTCGCCCGGAGGATGATGGCGCTGCGGTCTGACGCGACCTGAAAGACGCGCAGCTGGTTAGCGAAGAACACCGAACAATCTCCCAGTCTGAAACGCCAGCTGATATGTAATTTTACCGGAACCGGCGGCAGAAAATACAGTGATTCTTTAGACAGGAAAAAACACATAACGTGACAATCACATATGACTCCTAACACGGCTTCATAAGAAGCAGATCGGGTGTTTAAAGCCACATACCATACTGTTTTAAATACCCCCGGTGCGCACTGTCATCAAATAGATATCCGCATTTTACGTGTCTTTGCGCGAACGTCGCCGTTCGCTTGCGTCATATTCCCGCGTCCTTACTGGACACGTGTTTTACCAATGGAGACCGAGCAGTTGTACAGTGGCTGAGAGGTGGCTTTATGCCAGATGTTTTTTAAGTCATGGAATTGTTCCGTTACACTTGGTTTACAACGAGTGGTACGATTTTAACGCCCAGTAAATGTCAGCAGGAGGATGGTTTTATTCACGAAACCGTTTATCCTAAAAAGGAGAACACTACGCGCCTGTAGTGGTTACAGACCGTAACATATTTAGCAGAAAAATGTCGTTCATAAAAATCCCAGGAGAGGCGTTTGCTAAATCCCGAATTGTTACAACGTTGTGAATTAATTCATCTGCACCCCCTTCACGTGTTTAAATTATTGAATGTGAATAGGTTGCATTCCTTGTAGTGTGGATGCTTTTAATATGAGAAATTACTGGACCTCTCTCCAGTTTATGTAGGCTTTGGCAATCTGATGTATATGTATTGTCTGATTTATAACGTAGAATGTTCCTTGTGCTCCTCCCAGTTCCTGATCTTTAGACCAGTTCCTTATCTGGTTAATGGTGTCATCCCCAGTATTGTCACATAAACTCACACACCCACTCAAATCCTCCTAACTTGTTCTTGAAGTCAATTAATGCAAATAACTATCTTACTCATCCAAGGAAAGTTACCATCAGATTTTATTGCAGCGTCAGAGATTGCAGGTCATGGTTCCAGCTCCTTATTTGGAGTTTGTGAAAAGTCTGTTGCTTGGTGCTGGCACACAGATTCACAGGACAGGAGGACCAGAATCCTCTTTGGAATTCCAAGCAGAAATTCCTGTACACAGCATGGAAGGGGAAGAGTGACACGGAAAGGGCCCAACACAGCATGGTGCATTGTCCAACATGGGAGCTGCGGCACGTGGACCTGACAACACAGACTTTTGTTTTGGCCTTTAAAACCACTTTTAAAGAGATGCCAGGGATATTTAACCAGAATTAAGTTGTGTATCTATTACATTATATGGATAAAAGCATTGGGACACCTGGCCATTACATAAATCCATAGGAAGTAATATGGAGTTGGTCCCCCCTTTGTAGCTATAACAGCTGCCACTCTTCTGGGAAGGCTTCCACAGAAGTGTGTCTGTGGGAATTGTTGCCCATTCATCCAGAAAGCATTTGTAAGGTCAGGCACTGCTATTGGACATGAAGGCCTGGCTCACAATCTCTGTTCCAGTTCATCCCAAAGCTGTTTGATGAGGTTGAGGTCTGGACAATTTGTGCCAGTCAAGTTCTTCCACACCAAACTCACCCAACCATGTCTTTATGGACCTTGCTTTGTGCATTGGGGCAGAGTCATCCTGCAACAGAAAAGGGCCTTCCCCCACAAAACTGGAAGCATAAAATTGTTCAACACGTCTTGGTGTGCTGAAGCATTAAAAATTCCCTTCACTTGAACTTAGGGGCCTAATCCTAGCCCCTGAAAAACAGCCCCATACCATTATCCCTCCTCCACCAAACTCTACATTTGACACAACACAGTCAGGCAGGTAATGTTCTCACTGGCAGCTGCCAAACCCAGACTCGTCCATCAGACTGCCAGACAGAGAGGCGTGATTTGTCACTCAATGGAACATGTTTCCACTGCTCTAAAGTCCAGTGGTGGTGCTTTAAACCACTGCATTTGATGCTTGGTGATGTGAAGTTTGCATGCAGCTGCTCAGCCATGGAACCCCATTCCATGAAGCTCCCGGTGCCCAGTCTTTGTGCTGGGGTTAATGCTAGGGGAAGTTTGGCACTCTGCAGTTATTGAATCGACAGAGCAATGGCAATTTTAATTCACTATACGCCTCTGTGACCCCACTGTATTACTTTGTGTGGTTTCTCTTGTACCACTGACAGTTGACCGTGGAATATCTAGCAGGGAAGAAATTTCACAAACTGACACAAATTGCAAAGGTGGCATCCATTGACAGTACGACACTGGAATTCACTGAGCTCTTCCGAACGATCCTTCCTTTCACAAACGTTTGTAAACCTGCATGTCTAGGTACTTGATCTTATACATCTGTGGCAATGGGTCTGAATGAAACACTTGAATTCAGTTATTGAGAGGTGTGTCCTAATCCATAAGTTGTATGTCAGTGGTGAGGAGGTTTAGGAATTCAGAACCGTCCAGCAATACTTAAAAGTAGAAACGGCTGTAATATATGAGGTGGGCACCCCATATTTATTAGGGCTTGTAATAGGATGTGCATCTTACAGAGCATTAAGGTGGCCCCTGCTCAGCGGCGCTGAGGGCTGGAGCCTGTGGAAACGAGCCAAGGGCAGGACAGCAAGGCGATAAGCAGCTGGACCCGACATTTCTTTATTTAGGACAATGGGAGTGCAAAACACAGCAGAAAACGTCTGATCGCAGGCACAGACAAACAGCTGATAACCTCAAGGGGCTTTCAAAAAGGCTTTAAGCTGCATTTGTGAAACATAACAAATCGGTGGGCACATTGAGTGTGCAATCATTGTAGCAAAAAGGCATGATTTGGCAAAACAAGTAAGCCTAAGGCCCTTTTACAAAACAGCGAGCTATTTTTGCAAAAAGTTAATTTTCTATATAGAACCAGTAGTTTTTAAGAATGTCTGTCCAATCTCATCCGCCAATACATGGTAACTTGTTTATAGCATCTAAGAACTTTTTGTAAAGCAGAAAACGGCGGCATGGCGACAAGCCAACATCAGCTTAAAAAACACGAGAATATCTTCCAGGAGAGGAAGTGTCATTCTCTGCAGGCTGTTTCTGATGTCATCACTCAGAAGAAAAGGTGAGGCGTTCTACCCGCGGTTCCATGTGTCCATGGAACACCTACCTTTGCCACTAGAGGGCACTGTCTTACCGATCTGGGGATCTGAAACGTACTCTAAACACATTTTAGCCTCATGATTTTTCTACTCAGTTGCAGCAAATGCAGCAGGTTCGGTGGAAACAAGCATCGCAAACTGTGTCAGTATCAAGGAGTGCGGCGCAGTGCAGCGGGGCGGCCTGCTGGGGGTCCTACATGGGGTAGGCGGTGATGAGGTCGTGCCCCTCGGGGGGTCTTGTCCGAGTGCGGGCGTGGGTCTCACAGTACAGCTGGCCCTCCACGAAGAAGTAGCCTTTCTGCTTCAGGTTCATGTCGCAGTCTGAGCACACAAAGCAGCCTGGATGTCGGAACTTGTCCCGGGCTTTTACCACGGTGCCCCTGTAGGGGGAGCCAGACATCAGCCTGGGAGGCCCCTGCCCATGTGACCCTTCTCTGACCCTCAGCTGGAAGAGGGCATGTTGCTGCAGCGCAGGACGGTACTTACACGATGCCATTGCCACACTTGTCACACAGGGGCAGCTTCTGGAGGGTTCCAGGGGACGCTGGGGGCTTTGTCACGGGTGCCTTCACCGTCCTGGTGACCAAGGGACGGGTGCCTGGGGGAAACACGCACGATGGCCTCAGGAAATGACATATTTTCCCAGAGTCACGGCCATCCACTGACACCTGGCCTCAGGGTCCTGACACAGGGCTGTTATTTAGCGTGTTGTTGCTATACAGCAAACATCCTGCAGGTGGGGCTGCCATCCCCTAATCCCTGAGAGGCTCACCATCACTGTCCACGAAATCCTGCAGGGCCTTGAAGGAGCTGGACTGGCGGGGCATATGGGGCTCCTCCTCATCCTCCTGCAGCATGCGGTACACGTGCGACTCCTCGATGGATGACAGGCGGGAGGTTCTGCATGGCAGGGGAAGGGAAGGGAGTGAGTCACTGTGTGCACTGACACTCACACACACTGACACACTGATACACACACTGACGCTCACACTCACACTGATACTCACACACACTGACACACTGATACACACACTGACACACTGATACACACACTGACACTCACACTGATACTCACACACACTGACACACTGATACACACACTGATACACACACTGACGCTCACACACACTGACACTCGCACTGATACTCATACACACACACACGCACAAACACTGATACACACACTAACACACAGACACTCACACTGATAACCACACTGACACACACACACATAGATTAGTGTAAACAAGCAGACCACAAACACACACGCAAACATGCTCTCTCACACTGACACTAAGGGGAGCGTAGGGAACAGCAGGGGTACATGGATGGGTGGATGGATGGATAGATGGGTGGAGCAGGAAGGTCTGTTTGCCAAGCCTCACAATAAACAGGAGTGAGCGAAACTCTCATAGCTGCTGTATAGATACTATCTACAGATATAATGTATCATACTGGTAGGGAGACCTGCTGAATAGCGGACATTATGTACTGTGTGGGGTGAGAGTTCTCATGGCACTTAAACAGAGAGACTACTAGGGGGTGCCAAAGGGCAGCTGTAAGCGCACGCAGTGCAGTATGAAGCCTTGCTGAACTTTAAAAACAAGCTTCATGCAAAAGGCACAGGAAGGGAGGGGGGCTATTCTAAAGGAGACCTGCTCTGGCCAGCCGCTGTGAAGGGCCTTGGCCTGACATTAAACTTGTGCTCAAAGTAGCCGAGGTCCTGAAAGACACAAGAAAGGTGGGGAGAGGGTTAGAGATGGAGTCAGGATGGGCCATGAATGGAGGGGAAACAGGGACTGATGTCACGCTGCTAGCCTGCCCCCTGGAGGAGAGGAGGTGAAAGGTCAGAAAGCAGGGTTAAGGCACAGGAGGAGAAAGGTGTGGATGGTTAGCCGTTGCAGAGGGATAGGTGAGGAGCCCGGTATCCTGAGCCAAGGCCTTGGACTTGCCCCTCCCCGCCACCCCCACATTACACTGAGCATGAACTATTTTAAATGTCAGCTGTTTTCCAGCTTAATAATTCAATTTCTGCATAAGAATGGTTGGAAGATGATTTCATGTTCCTGTGATTGAATTAATGTCTCAGTTATTTAGTTTGACAGTTTATTACACCAATCAGGCAGAAATATATGCAAACCAGATTTTCTGTTTAGTTTAAAATGCATTTGAAACACGCAATACCCTGACAAGGAATGTTTTTGACTAAATAATTAACCACCAAGTGGCCAGTTTATTTGGTATACCTGCTTACTACTGCAAACAACTAGAGCTAAATACATACAGCACACAGCGCCAGGTGGATATGTACAGCACACAGACAGGTCAGGAGGATGCATGCAGCACACAGACAGGTCAGGAGGATGCAT